GTGACAAAACCAGAGGCCTTCCAGCAAGGTCTTTCTTACAGCATGGAATGGAAGCCATGGACATTCAGAAGTTGTTCAACATCTTTCAGAATTCCTTACCCTTGACTGTATTAGCTGAGACTCTTGGGAATTGAAGTTCAGTGACGTCTGGAGAGCCACAGCTTTTTGTTGTTGCTGTTGTTGTTGTCAATGTAGCCTTAGGAAGAAAAGTAACTGAAGTGTGAATAATCACCATGGAGGAATAAGCTCCTATTTTATTGCTGTTAGAAGAACATTCAATACATGACTTTCTCAATCTATGGGTATTGTCAAAAATAAGATGGGAAGCTTCGGCAACACACTGTTTTTCTTTCAGGATAGAAAGACCCTTAAGGGAATTGCATTTTGGTCTGGTCTTGTTTGCTTCAGCAGGGTAGCTAGACTCTGAAAGGTACAGAGAAGAATCCAGAAGGCACAAAATCTGCTGTATCACATTCAGTCTGTTTGCTTCTTGATCTCACAATGTGTTTCATTCTTTTACAGTAACAGGTAAATATAATCTTTTAAAAAATTCATTAAGTTCTAAACCTAACCCTTTATAAGACAAACGGACGCTACTGGAAACATTACATATTTTATTTTATTACACAAGCTTAGCATGAACAAACATGGAAACGCCCAGATGAATTAAATTTGTGTAGACTTCCCTAGAAATAAACTGTTTTAACAGCACCACCTTTCACCTGCCAGTTCCCATTGCCAATCTGCTAAAGAACTGTAGAAAGTAATGAAGATGACATTAATGGAATAGGCAAGAATAATGACTTAGGCAAAAGAGGCTGAACCATTCTTTTAAGTCCAGAGAAATGAGATAATATTCAGAAGCAGCTCAGATGCCACCCTGAATCACTGGAGCATAAGAAGGAAGAGGAGGTACAGTGCAATCAGACTTCCAAGATTGATGTTGGTCCCACTAAGTAGAGCAGACCAGGAAACCAACTCCACAGGAAAGCTAAAACCTTTAATAACATTTATTTTTTAAAAAAATGAGAAGGTCCAATTTAATTGGAAGCAACTGCTGAGAGGGGATTTGGATTTAGTTTGGCTATAGGATGCTTCCAATTTTTGTATTTGTTTTAGAAATAGAAAAAAAATTAGATATGAATTTATGTGTTGCCTATTCTAAAAAGTCTAGGTGGCTCATAGAACAAAACAACCCATAAACACAAGTAAAATAAAAACAAAAATTGATAGCGTCCTATAGCCAAACTAAATCCAAATCCCCTCTAAGCAGTTGCTTCCAATTAAATTGGACCTTCTCATTTTTAAAAAATAAATGTTATTAAAAGTTTTAAGGAAAACATAAACACTTACACAAACTAATGCAGAATAAAGAGAGAAAGAAAAAAGAACAAAAGTGCAGAAAGAAAGAGTAAAAAGAAATAGAAAGAAGCTTCTGATTTCCTCTGAAGCAAATATAAGTATGATTACAAAGTTCTCTCTGATTCTACAATTACCAAAAAAAAAGCTCACTTTTTTCTATTACCCAATTTTTTTT